AGAATAGGTAGTTAACAATATGAGATAAGTGGTGGGTTAGGAAAAAAAGCTTCCATTTAAGGATCAAAAGTGATAGTATGGTGTTGCATACTGTATAGCCTGTATGCAAGTTTAAAATGCATTACTTCATTTTAAATAAATTATTATCTTCACCTGTATGCAAATGAGGACTGCTAACTAGAACCTTGTAAAGTTCTCTAATCACCTATATTCACATATATAAGTAGGATGAGGGCTGATTTTAGGTCGTAGAGTGTCGTATAGTTGTGTAGAGAAGAGACCAGGGACTACTCCTTGTAGTGCCTGTTGAAACGGTTAACTCCACTGCGTGAGAGGTTAAAGCACGGGTTAACTAGCTTTCTTTAGGGCTCCAATCTTAACTTCCAACACTTGCTGTCTGAAGTAAAATAGCAATGCAATAAGGAAAAAAATAGGGTAAAATAATTTTAAAAATCATAAATTTGTTAAACATAGTAAATATCAAATATCCAGGAAATTCTTAACTTAAAGCTATCATCATTGTATTTGAAGAACAGGAGTAATGTAGTGTAATGAATGTAAGGAGTAATGTAGAGTAATCTATTGTTGAAAGCACAGTGCCATTTAATTGAAAAGGTTTTGGTTCAACAGATCCAGTCGTTTGGTAAGTACGTATCTGTCAATGTGCTGCTCTTTAAAAGACCAAGTCAGTGAATTCTGATCTTTAATGGGCTTCTATTGGTAAAGTAATAGAACTGGTTTGAAACTTAATGGCTGGGAAAAGGGTAGAATGCTGAACCAGCATATAAGAGATTGCACCAAAGTGAACACTGTTTCTACAGGAGTAAACAGCTTGTCTGACCTTACCTCACTGTTTTTCTTGAATCTTAAAGATTGCTAACTCTCGAGAAGGGGATGTCAGCTTTTCCTTGCTTGAACGTAATCAAAGATTAAGCTGTTCAATATTGCTGAGCAACAGCTTACTTTGATTAAGAGGACAATTATTGTTGATTTTTTTATTTTGTAATTTGATTATTGATGGAGATCTCTGCCTCTTAATTAATGCGTCCATTAATATTTTGATTAATGGTTGTAGGACTTTGTATAGCTGTATTTTGCATAGCTTAGTGTTATCTGGGGTCATTGTCACTTTTTTTTATTCTATTGTGCTTTAATGTTGTATTTCTATTGTTGTGTTTATTTTTAGATTTGGGAAGAGCTGTGAGTTTACTATGAAGAAATACAGTATATAGAATAAATGCTCTTACTATGCAAAGTTAACTTGGTCCATGTAAAATCAAAGATTATTTCTTATATCAAAGAGTTGGCATGTCATAACAATGTGTGTTTGGTAAAACTTTAAACATAAGATCTTTGAGATGTGTAGCCTAGTTCTGATGGATTGCTTCACATCTTCATCCACAGTTTCCAAAAACTTTAGTGACAGTGATAACTTTCAAGCCTGATCTTCAAAGTTAAATTGAACTCAGTCATAAATGTGTTTTGTTTGAGAACATGCTTTTGTAAACTGTTCTTCAATGCACAGTTTGACAATGCTGATTTCTCAGAAGAATAAAATGTGTGAATCAGTCACTTCTGAATGTCAGATGTTTTACAGGTGTTTAATAAAATCAGTATAAGTCTGGCGGACAGGATGCATTGCCTGATATGGTGCCGAACAAGCATTTTCTTACTGCATGTTGCTAAATCTAAATGAGTGTAGAAACAGTACAGAAAACTGTTTTTTTTGTGTGAAAATTGCACATTTGGCTTTGGTAAGCCATTAAATTGATTTGGAAATTAGTTAATATTTTTGAAATTGGTACATTTCTGGACTGGTGTAAAGATTTTGTTTAAAAGTTTTAAACAAGAAAATAGTTTTGTTGTACATTTCATAGTGTATATTGTTTTATTAAGACTGATGTCGTAGGCTCTGTGATGACCCAAAGATAGCTGATGTGTGGTGAGTGTGCTGGTGCACTTTGGCTGCCGTAGCATCATCCAGGTGGGGGCTGCACACTGGTGGTGGTGGAAGAGAGTCCTCATCAGCGTTTTGAGTGGAGTGTCCAGAAAAGAGCTATGTAAGTGTAAGGAACTATTATAAATTATTGATGTTGCTAGGGCCTTGTGATGAAAACCACATCTTCTTGGATAAGAACATATCTATCTATCTAGGCCAGTCGTTTCTGGGAACGTGTCAGAGCAGTGAGGGTCAAAGATCACTACAAGACAATAGTTCCCCAATTTACCCCTCCAAGCCATGACTGTATTGACCTTTCTGCATGTCCTTCCATAGGACTCAAAGACTCCAACACCAGAAAACCATCAGAAGCCAACATTATCCTTAAACTTTGTTCACACATTCCCCCAACTCTCTGTGATTCACTTGTTTTTTCTACATTTTTTTTGTCCATGTACAAATTGCTGCCTACCTCACCTGATGTATACCACACCGCATTTTCATTTGCCCCTTTTTAACCATCTCATACTCTTTCCCATGCTCTCTTTTTTGTCCTCCTTATGTTTTGTCCACCTTTAAATCACATTTCTGCTCTCTCCCTCATTTGTCTACACACCCAAAGAGACATCACAGCTGAAAGGTTGTGTTTTTCTTCCTTGTACTTCTAAGAATAGAATTAACCTCTACTGTTTCCTTTACAGCTTAAAAGTTGGATCTGATTCAAATGAATCCTCATCAGATGTGATGTTAGTTCCCAGTGTTTAATTTTAATCAGCCGCATATCTAATTAATTTTCCCGTTTGTTTTTTAATAATACTATTTGTTCTTTAATTATACTGTTTGCATACAGCACGGATCTTGTGATATAAAGTCTGAAACAAAATATTAAAATAATTTTGAAATCATGATAGCGTTTGTAATGATTTTGTTTTCTTTCGCCTGAGACATCAAACTGACCCACTTATTTGAGTACAATTTGTCACAGGCACAATGGTGTGGCTTCATGAGTGTGCATTTTCCTGTGAGTACAGTTTTAAGCATCATTAATCTTATTAGTTGATTAATGACTCAATAAGGTAATTGGGAACTCTGTTTTAAACCATGAAAATTATTTTTTATACTTCTCTTCGTCATCCAGAAAGAAAGGGTTCAGATTTCACATTTAAGTGGATTCAGTCTGAAGTTTGTAATGTCCCTAGATAAGTCCCCTCAGAATGGCTAAAAGGACTGTAAGATCATTTGCCAGTCTGCTAATCAATACAGGCAGATGGTCACAAAACCAAGGTCTGCGCTCAAATGCTTTTTCAGGAATCTGTTGCAGCTCCAAAGCTCACCAGCTGTTTGCATTATTACAGAAGCCTACAAATCTGTCTCTTAATAAAGTGAAAATTAAATCAAAGAGAATGACAAACCATAATTAATCTTATGGCAGACACATAAGGCTGAATAAATATTTTGGGTGGGCTTATGTTTTAATTCACAGTAGTTATTTCAGTCTCATGACATGTTAGGCATGAATTGTATCTTGTTTCTTTGCTTTTACATTTCTTAACTTCCACCCAAGTTGTTTAATCAAAATATATTGTAGGGTCACTATATAAGGTAAAAGGATTAAATCAATATTATATTTGATAAAATATGTTAAAATTAATTTCTGTGCTGGATTACCAATGGCATTTTCAGACTTTTTAGTTTTCTTTTCTGTGCAAGTTCATATTAAAGAGCTAAATTAATTTCTTACTCAGCAGGAATGAGAAAAAAATACTGTTTCATTAACGATCAAATTATGAAAGTAATAAAGTGGAGATGTCATCCTGTAGTTTAATAAAAATATCTTTTTCTCCTGGCGTATTGCTTTTGTTCTGCAGTCTCACTACTTTTTGCTCTGCTTTTGAATATTTATAATGGCATTTCATTTTCACAGCTTATTACACATGTAATGGAGTATTGTTTGAAAGGGACTACTTTGTGTTAAATCCATGTAAACCAAACAGCTTTAGATGTAGTGACATCTTAGAAATATTGATTGATTAAATGTAAAACAAGCAAAGCGTAACTCCAGTGACAGTGTATAATTTCAGAGCAGAATATGAGTCATCTTGAAATTAAGCTAAGCTGTTGGTTTAGAATTTTTTTCTTTCTCTCATTCAGTTTCCCACTAAAAAAAGCTTTCCACAAAATTAGTCACACAAGGACACAAAGGGTATAAAAAAAGATAAATTGGGCACAGCCAAGCTATTTATTCACTTTTAATTTTATTATGTGAGGCCTATGTTAGATGGCAGTTGGTTCCCCTGACAGGGAAGAGGGAACTGTTCCTATTTTTGCTTTCTGGCACAAAGTGTGCTTGCTTTTCTGGCACCAGGATCCAAGTGTATACAGTAAATGACACAACCTGGACTCAGGTTCCAAACATGGTAGGAGGACACCGGACCTTCTATGTTCGATATATATAGTCTGCGTCACCCAGAAAGCCACTTACTGTATATTGGGAAGAATGTTGCCTGCCATCTTTCCCCTTTAAAATTGCATCAGAACCTACTTTATCTTATAACCATTCTTCACAAAATATTTTGAGAATATTTTAATACTATAACTATATACTACAGTATATTATATATCAATTTAAGACACTATGAATGACAACAAAACATTTGTAGGAAGGCACAAGACTTCATTAATTGGATTATCTTGCACTTTCACACACTCTACAAAGCGACTACACAAGAAATAGCTTTAAGACATATATAGGAAAGCTAATTTTGGCTTCTTATCCCATTAACCTTGAATTTTCTCCTTAAATCCATGTATGTGTGACAGACACACAGAATTAAAGTTAGACAGGTGTTGGAAAGAATGAATGTTTTGTTCTGTAAAATAGTATCAATTTTGGCAACAATTTTGCTTACTGGAAACACATAATGTCCTTCTACCAGCAAACCATTCTTCTACTTGAACGCACACCTGAAGAAGGCTCCACGGCCGAAACATTATATTCTCTTTCTTCTTTTTTTCAGCATGGAATAAACCTATTACTTGTTCCTTTGCAGCCTACGCATGCTGATGCAGCTACCCACCTGAACTACTATTCTTCTACTTTGTGAGTGAAAAGCACTACTGTATGTGATATTTAAGAAAATCTAGTACTAAATATTTAAGTAAAACATTCACCCATTAGTGAAATATCAAACAGAGGACGCAGATGGAAACTAATTGGAAGTGCATTTAAAACTGATGACGGGTCTTTTTAACACAGAGGCTGAGGGGAGTCTGGAATATGATCCCCAGTTTGGGTACTTTCAATAAATGACTGTATGAGATCATCAGCTGAATTAGACACTATCAACCAAACAAGTTAGATAGGGGTTCCTCTCATTTGCAGACTTTATGTTCTTGTGATATTCTTATGCTCAGACCTGTCTGTGGCTTCACAGGTGCAGTGCCTTAATTCAAGGATGCAGGCATGTTTCAGAATGTATCAGTATGATGGGAATAGACTTCTGTTGACAGAATTTCAGAAGCAAAGGTAAATTAAATGCATTTGTTAAAGAACTGCTTTAGGGGAGAATTAAATGCAATGACTCACAGTTATGTTTGTCCAGTTGTTAAATATTTAGACCTTTACCTAAAGAGCCAATAATGAAGTCATTAGCACAGACACTGTTTGGTTATGGCTGCTTATTACTGCCACACAGATTTTAAAGGGGAGCTGCAGCTCTAGTTTCTCAGACTGGTTATTACAACTCAGTAACAAATTTTCGTTATGTTTTGAAATGCACTCATCAATGCCAGTTCTTTCTAAGTCCTAAATATAAAAATAATATTGCAGTTCCCCTTTGAAAGTTTTCTTCCAATTCTGAAATGTTGTTAATTCTGTCTGCTTCTGTATATGCTGTGTTTCAGTTGTTAAAAGCTGATGTAAGCTTATTGTATAATAATAATAATAATTGCTTACACTTATATAGTGCTTTTCTGGACACTCCACTCAGGTAGGTGGTGGGACTCCCCTCCACCACCAGCAATGTGCAGCCCCACCTGGATGATGCGACGGCAGCCATAGTGCGCCAGAACGCTCACCACACATCAGCTATCAGTGGGGAGGAGAGCAGAGTAATGAAGCCAAGGAATTATGGGATTCATAGAGGGGGATTATTAGGAGGCCATGATTGATAAGGGCCAATGGGAAATTAGGCCAGGACGCCAGGGTTACACCCCTACTCTTTTTGAGAAACTCCTTGGGATTTATAACGACCGCAGAGAGTCAGGACCTCGGTTTTACCTCTCATCCGAAGGACGGCGCTAGTTTACAGTATAGTGTACCCGTCACTACACTGGGGCATTAGGACCCACATGGACCGCAGGGTGAGCTGGCCCCACCAACACCTCTAATGCCTGTGATTATTTCTTTTTTTTATGCAGTGTCATTTATAATGTTTGTGTTTACACTGGTTTGTGTACAGATCATACAGATTTACAAATTATCTGTTTGTTCCCAGTAGTGGCTTCATGTCAGCCAACCATCAGAGAGTGATACCATGCTGTCATTGATACCAGCAAGTTTGTCTTTCTTTAACTGCAAAAAGAGTAATTCTTTTCTATTAGAGACAAACAAATGTTTCTGTTCCTGCTGATTTATGCCTGCTATAGCAAATTAAAGAGCGTGAGTCATACAGAAGCTTCAGGGGCTTGTCTATTGCGGTTGTAATTTTGTTTCCAGCCTTCAGATCTGATTTCTTCAGTCTGCATATTTCTCCTTTGAACTGGTTTTGTTGTGTGTGCATAAAATTATATTTTAGGTTTTATGCATGTGAGTTTATATACATAAACCTGCATATTTACCTTTAAGACATGAATTAAAAGAGCACTTTGTTGGGTTTTTGCTAATTATATTTCCATGTGTAACTCCAGTCTATGCTAGCATAATATTATTAATTAAAAAAAATAATTGTAAAATAAAAGATGAAAGCAGGTCATTACTTTCTTATTTGTATATGTTCTACCTTTAAATTCACATTTAAAAAGTTAGAAAAGAGCACTTTGTAGTTTGTCAGTTATTGGTCTGAATAATGTGGCTCAAAATATGATCTTATTCTTTTAAGAAAAAAAAGCAAATGTTGCTAAGAAAATCTGTTGTAAAACTAATAGCTTACGCTGGTCAGGGTAAAAACTACAAATGAATTGAAGGTTTTCACCATATGATACACGTATTTGTCGATGTTCGTTTTGTGTACTGTGTTTAAAAGATAAAAACTCTATAATTAGCATGTTAATCACTCTTTTGCTGATAATTTCAGAGTATTTGCAGGTTGCAAGGTATTTAAAACAGCGAATTGTATGCTCTTTAGAGAGTTTAACATAAGCAACCTGACCAGAAAAAAAAAATTGTTTTTGGTAAGTTATGGGATAAAAATGTTAAAAAGCACATATATTTTCTGAATCTTTTCAATTTCACCCCATACATTCATATATCATAAAGTGATTCTTAAAACTTTTACGTTTTGTTGGTGGTAATCTTTACTATCTATATATATTGTATATACTTTGCCTTACAAAAGTATTCACCTTCTCTTTTGTGGAATTACAAATATATTCACAATTTTAAAGTTAATGTTTGAATCCAAACTTGAATTCATAAACTGAAAATTCTGTGGGTGAAAAAACTAGGTAAGAAAAATAAAAAAAATATGCTGATTTGAAGTATTTACATAGTTGTTATAGCAAATCTACATTTGTAAACCTGAGCTCAATTACTTTAAAAAGTCATACAGTTTGTTGAATGGCCTCTGTGTACAGCAGTAGTGGTTCACATGGTTTCAGAATAAATACAGAAAATACAGCTGTTTTTGAACAGTAAAACCATGGGTCTTTAAAAAGAATTTGGGGACAGAGCTGTAGGAATCCAAAGATAAGGAGAAGGATAAAAAGAATAAAAAGATAGGAGAAAATGTTCTTGAGTCAATATCTATGAAGTGAATATTCCAGTCACTCCACAAAGCTGGACTGTTTGTCAGAGTGGAAAACCTATTCTTAAATCTATCATGGAGTTTACAACAGAGCAATTAAGCGATAGTGCAAACATGTTGCAAAACGTTTTGTGGTTACATGACAGACAATCGGACAATTCTGGTCTAAATGCAAAATGTTCTACCTGGCTCCAGCCCAACACAGTGTATCACCCACAGCTTGACACCCTTGTTGTCAAGCATGGTGGAGGCAACATTATGTTATGGAGCTGCTTCTCATCAACAAGGACTGGAGTGCTGGTCAAGATTGAGGGACAAATGGATGGAGCAATATATGGCCACATCTTAGAGGAAATCCAGCTTCAGTCTGCCAAAGACCTAAAAAAGGGACAAAAATACACTTTTCAGCAGGACTAAGAGCAAAAGGTCAGTGCTAAACTCAAGTGGCATGTTAAGATGAAAGTGAATGTCCTTGAGAAGCTTAGTCAAAAGTCCTGACATGTCACAGTACACTTCATCTGTAGTATGTTGACTGTAAACTCTAAATGTTTTATTTTGAATTGATTTCTTTCTATTTAATGAGAATAAAATTTCATTCAGTGATAGTATACCGCAACATTATTATGTCTTTGTGTTTTGTGGCATACAGAGATATAAACTCAAATTGTTGTCCTTCTCATCTGAAAGCTAAGGAACTATTTGAATGGCTCATCGATGTCTCATTAACACTGTACCTTCATAATGCTCTCTGAACCTAACAACAAACAAGGTTATTTCATGGCTGACAAGTTAAGTAGATACTGTACTCCCTTCACCAATTAAGAAAAGCTCATCCTTGAACATACTGGCACACCTGCTTAGATCAATAAACCGTGTTCTTAGAATTTCAGCATTAGGATGCAATCGAATTCACAGCTGGTCCTGTATTATGAGATAACTGTCAAGGTCTAGCAAAACAATGAGCATGCTAGTCTTTGATATGTAGAGCACAGAAATAAATTGAGAAGCACAATCACAGTTCAGCCCTGAAGTACAGGGTTCAGTGAGAGCCATTATAAAAAAGAGCCTCAGTAGTCTTTCAGTTTCCTTAATTTTTTATGTGATCAAATGCAGCAGGCTGGAACTGAATTGGAATCATTGGCTTCCAAGGGGAATTGCTGTCAGTTTGGGTGAAATAGCCTTGACTTGCGAGCCCTGTAACAGACATGCCTGTATATTAAACTTAGGCCAGCTGCCAGGGATCTTATTAAACGAAAAGATGTTGCCCTAGATCCCCCTGGACAAGAGACCTCATCTTTGAGTGGGCTTTGAGTGATAGGAACTTACAGAAGGAAGTTCTGAGTTCAGGCTTCATGCTTTAGTTTAGTTTCTGGTACTTTTTATAGAGTACTTTCGAGTACTAGTACAGCAGACAGCTCTTGTTATCCATTTTTGATTAAAAAGCAAAACTGTTAATGTTTTTAGTGTCTCATTTTTTCTGACTTGGAGAACGAGGAACGTATAAGAAAGGTTACAAGCAAGAGGAGGTCATTCACCCCATCTACTCTACTCTATTTGGTTGCTAGCAACTGATTGATCTGACAGTCTAATCCTGCCTATTTTGGGGCAGTTTATTATCATCAACAACATGGTTGGTTAGCTTGTTTTATATCCTTCCACAACACTTTGTGTGAAGATCTGCTTCTTGATTTCATCCCCATAGTTTTTACTAATTCATTTTCCACTCTTGATTCCAAAGAAGTCCAAGGGATTGACAGATTATTTTTTAAACAATTGAATTAGGTTCTCTTTTAGTCATTGGAAGACACTGCAGTTCATTGAAAACTGCACCATAAACACTTTATAAGTGACTGCTTAGCCTTTGCAAGTTGTCTGCGCTGCATTGCAGAAGAAGACTGCTTCGACTTTCAGAAGAAGTTACTTTGGTGATGTAACCAATGGAGATATATAAGGATTGGATCTCCAAGGGTTAACATTAAAGGACCTTTAGGGCAGAAAAAACAGCTTCTGAGGTTACTCAGCGAAGAGATGTGGAATGTAATAGGACATGAAAGCTGCAGCTCTGTCTACTGCCACAAACCTTTTATGTTATACAACAGGAAATAATTTGAACCCATTATTTAACTGTGATCTGTGAGCTAATGCTTAAGACATCTCTTAGTCAAAGAAAACTAGCAATGCATAGAAAGTGAACAACAAAACATCATAAAACTAATTATGCCCAAGAAATAAAAACATTTGTGATGTGATTTTTAGCATCAACATCAAATAAGAGGAATTGTAATTTTGAAACAGTTGTGGTTTTCTTGTAGCTGCTTTTTTAACAGCAGTTAAAAAATTGACAATGTTTTAAAAAGCTGTGAAGAAAAATTAATATCCCACCAGTACTTTCACGAAAAATAAAATACATAAAAATGGAATGGAAAAATAAACTGTCCAAAATGTTTTCTTAAAATATTGTAAGTGATTACCAGGTATACTCCCATTCTCCCAGGAAAAAGGTAATGAACCTTTTTTTAAAGGAGTCCATCAATGTGCTCTTCTTTCTGTTGGCAGCAGTCATGAATTTTGCTAAACCTGATTTGGAAGCCAAGTGTTCGATAACTACTGCACAACTGGGTGATTCATTAGCACAGTTTAATAAACATTGCAGTTAGATGGTGAGATTTGTCCATGTACCACATATTGCTTCTTCATCTGTGTGGTCAGAATCTGAGGGCTGACTAGCAGAAGATCCTATTTTATAAGATCTCTTGGCCTTTTCCTAATTCAGCCCTAATCTAGGGATAACCCTGATCCTCATAATGAATGTCACCCTCTATTAGTTTAAATGTCTGCTGCAGTATTGACCTTAGTGATACAGAACAATTCATGGTGCATTTCACTTCTTCAGAGAGCGGTGGATATTTGCTTCTGCCCTTCAGATTGTGGGGTTAAAGCATTACATTTCTGTTTGCTTTAAGTCATGTTTCTGATTATATCACCCTCAGAGTGAGAACAGTGTACCTACACAGGGATTAATCCTGTCACCCTCAGAGTGAAAACAGTGTACCTACACAGGGATTAATC